ACAAAAAAACCACTCTCCTCTAATGGAACGGTGTGGTTCAACAACCTTATGAGTCTAGTATCCCCATAATACATGAGCTACAACTAGCTTTGCTAATCTTGCACAGAATTCAAATTCCAGAGAAACATTTATCAAGGCTTAAGTTGTATCATGTGATCACATCTCAACTGGGAAAAAGCAGTATATCCATTGTTAGTCTGAAAGACTGCAGAAAGAGGAAGGGAATTCACAGAACTTAGAACATTGTCTCCAAAAGAAAGCTAACAATTGTGTAATATTCTCAGGGAAAATTGAAGCTAGACTTCAGATCCAATAGGGATCCAGAATGGCAATGACAAGCCAAGGCAGGAAGTCTACCATGGGAGTAGGGCATAGAGGTCATCTCCATGGTGTGGGGACACCTGGAATCTATTCCACTGCACCCTGGATGGTAGAAAAGGGGCTTGCTAGATGCATCACCATCTTCAGAACTCACTGACTCTGGAGTTACAAAGGATGGTTCATCTGTGCAGCATGATCAATGAAAATCAAGTACACTGTAAATTATGAAATCTGCAAAAATATTGCTAATTGAAAGATAACTTATTAATTATCACATTCATCATAGTCACTATTAAATAGAATTTAAAATCAAGTAGGAACTGGATTTCAGTATGGCTTAGCTATGAGTCCATTTTGAGTGCAGGTAGAAGACGTGGAGTAGAAGAAAATCTGAATAAATAAAATGTAAAAGTCACCTAGACGTGGTGGCACATGCCTTTAATCCCAGCACTATGGAGGCAGAGGCAGGCAGATATCTGTGAGTTTAAGGCCAGCCTGGTTTACAATGTGAGTTCTAGAACAGACAGGGATACACAGCAAAGCCAAAAAAAAAAAAAAAAAGGAACAGTCTCTCTGCTCTGACTGTGGACAAGCCACTTAACTTCCCTGTTATTCAGCTATAAAGTGTGGCCAACTGACGTTATAATATTGCCTGGTATTTCAGGAAGATTGGATGTGGTATACAAGTAGATGATTGGAACACTGGTCTGTAACAAATATTATATAAGAACTTGCTCCTCTTAGTGACATTTTCACTTTAGAGTTCTCAAAGGAATTTCTGCATGTCACTTCACATGAAAAAAATCCTATGGTGAGATTTTACTTTTTAAAATATTAATTATGAACAGAAGAAACATTGCCAAAGTCATTTTATGAGGCCACAGTTACCCTGATACCCAAACCACATGAAGATTCAATGAAGATAGAGAATTACAGACCAATTTCCCTCATAAACATTGATGCAAAAATGCTTAATAGTGGCAAGCCAAATCAAAGACCACATCAAAAAGATCATCAAACATGATCAAGTAGGCTTCATCCCAGAGATGCACAGATGACTCAACATATGAAAATCTGTCAATGTCAAACACCGTATAAACAAACTGAAGGAAAAACAAACAAACAAATGGATGAGATCTACATGAGCAAACTGGGGGTGATGGGGGGTAATGGAACATCTCATTAGATGATGAAAAAAAGCCTTTGACAAAATCTAACACCCCTTCATGATAAAAGTCTTGGAGAGACTGGAGATACAAGGGACATACCTAAACATAATAAAGGCAATTTACAGCAAGCCTATATCGAACATCAAATTAAATGGAAAGAAACTTAAAGCAATTCCACTAAAATCAGGAACAAGACAAGGCTGTTTGTTCACTCTCCCCATATCTATTCAATATAGTACTCGAAGTTCTAGGTAAAGCAACATGACAACTAAAGAAAATAAAGGAGATACAGACTGGAAAGGAAGAACTCAAAGTAATGCTATTTGCAGATGATATGATGTATGCATGAGCAACCCCAAAAATTCTACTAGGGAATTCCTATAACTAATAAACTCTTTCACCAAAGTGGTTGGATATAAGATTAACTATAAAAAAAATCAGTGGCCCTGAAATCAGGGAAACAACACCCTTTACAATAGCCATAAATAATATAAAATATCTTGGGGTAACTCTAACCAAGCAAATGAAAGAGTTGTATGATAAAAACGTCAAGTCTTTTAAGAAGGAAATTGAAAAGGATATCAGAAAATGGAAAGATCTCCCATTCTCATGAATTGGTAGGACTGACAGTAAAAATGCCTATCCGGCTAAGAGCAAGCTACAGATTCAATGCACCACCCATCAAAATTCTAACACAATTCTTTACAGACATTGAAAGAACAATACTCTACTTCATACTGAAAAACAAAAAAACCCTAGAATAGCTAAAACAATCCTGTACAATAAAGGAACTTCCAGATCTATCACCATCCATAATTTCAAGTTGTACTACAAGCTGTGGTGATAAAAACTGTATGGCATTGGAGTAAAAATAGACACATTGATCAATGGAATCCAATTTAAGACACAGATGTAAATGTACACACCTATGGACAACTGATTTTCAATAAAGAAGCCAGAAATATACAACTGAAAAAAAAAAGCAACTTCAATAATGGTGCTGGTCTAACTAGAGATCAGCATGCAGAAGAATACGAGTAGATCCATATCTATCACCCTGCACAAAACTCAAGTCCAAGTGGATCAAAGACTTCAACATAAAACCAGACAAACTGAAAACAAAAACAAACAGAAAAAAAAATCCCAGATACACTGAACCAAATAAAAAAGAAAGTGGGGAAGAGCCTTGAACATATTGGCACAGAAGACAACTTCCTGAACAGAACACCAGTAGCACAGGTACTAAGATCAACAATTAATAAATGGGACCTCACGAAACTGAAAAGCTTCTGTAAGGCAAAGGACACCATCAATAGGACAAAATGGCAGCCCACAGAATGGGAAAAGATTTTCACCAACTCCACATCTGACAGAGGGCTAGTATCCAAAATATATAAAGAACTCAAGAAACTTGACACAACTAGCTAAATAATCCAATTAAAAATGGGGTACAGACCTACACAGAGAATTTGCAACAGAGGAAACCAAATTGACTGAGAAGCACTTAAAGAAATGTTCAACATCCTTAGCCACCAGGGAAATGCAAATCTAAGGACTCTGAGATTCCATCTTATTCCTGTCAGAATGGCTAAGATAAAAAGCACGAATGACAGCTCATGCTGGCATGGGGAACACTTCTCCACTGCTGGTGGGAGTACAAACTTGTATGGACACTTTGGAAATCAATATGGCAGTTTCTCAGAAAGTTGGGAATCAATCTATTTCAAGACCCAGCTGTACCCCTCTTGGGCATACACCCAAAGGATGCTCCATCCTATCACAAGGACACTTGCTCAACTATGTTCATAGCAGCTTTACTTAAAATAGCCAGAAACAACCTAAATGTCCCTCAACTGAAGAATGGATAAAGAAAATGTGGTAAATTTACCCAATGGAGTATTACTCAGCTGTCAAAAACAATGATACCATGAAATTGCATGGAAATGGATGGAACTAGAAAAACTCATCCTGAATGAGGTAACCCAGACCCAGAAAGACAAACATAGTATATACTCATTTATAAGTGGATATTAGCTTTTAAGTAAAGGATAATCATGCTACAATCCACAGACCCAGAGAGGCTAAGTAACAAGGAGGGCTCTAGCGGGGACACAAGGATATCCCTGGGAAGGAGAAATAGATTTCGTGGGTGGACTGGGTGGGATGGGTTTGGTAACAGGAAGGATCAGGTACAGGGGGAGGGAGAAAACACAGGAAGAAATGACTGGAATTGTGGGAAATTTGGGGATGAGGTGGAAATCCAGTGCAATGGAAATTCCATTTAATCTATGAGAGTAACCCTAGCAAGGACTCCTAGTAATGGTCAACATGGAGTCTGAACTGGCCATCATCTGTTACCAGGCAAGGCCTCAAGTGGAGGGACTGGGACACCAACCCAGCCACAAAACCTTCAACCTACTGTTTGTCCTGCCTGCAGAGAGTTCTGGGACTGGAGCCTAGCCAAATGTTGTGGTGATATTTTGTGTGTGATATAACAAATGAAGCTTGTCTGAAGATCAGAGGGCAAAGCCAGCCACTAGTTAGTCATAGAGGCCAGGCAGTGGTGGCACATATTTTTAATACCAGCACTTGGAATCTCATGCCTTTGTTTCTAGTAATTGGGTGACACACATGTTTTTAATCCCAGCACTAGGGAGGCTGAGATAGGAAGTGATATGGCTGAGGGGACTATAAGGTGGGAGGAGACAGGAGCTCAGCTTTTTTGGCTGTGGAGCTGGTGAGGTGAGAGGAGGTTGCTGTGGTTTGTTCCTTTGTCTCTCTGATCTTTCATCATTTACCCTGATATCTGGCTCTGGGTTTTTATTAAGACCAATTAGTATTTGTGCAACAAATCATCATCAAAGAGCCCAAAGAGATTTAATACAGTGACTGATGGGAGCAGATGCAGAGTCCCACAGCCAGAAGTTTGACAGAACTTTGGGAGCCTTTTGAAGAGGGTGGGGGAGGAAGGATCTAAGGAACTGGAGGTGTCAGGGACACCAAGAGAACATGGCCTACAGAATAAATTGACCAAGACTCATGGGGGCTTGTAGAGATCAAGGAGACTGTAAAGGTCTGACCTAGGCCCTCTGCATATATGTTATGGTTGAGTAGCTTGGTGTTCTTGTGAGACTCCTATCAGTGGGAGTAGGTGTGTCTCTGAGTCTTTTGCCTGTTTCTGGGACCCTTTTCCTCCTACTGGTTGCCTCATTGAGCCTTGATGAAATGTTATGTGCCTGGTCTTATTAGGGTTTGCTATGTCATGTTAGGTTGATATTCCAAGGATACATACTCTCTTCTGAGGGAAGATGGAGGAGGGGAAAGGGAAGGTGCAGAGAGAGGAACTGGGGGAGGAGAGAGGAGAAACTGCAGCCCTAATGTAAAGTATGAGAGAAAAATAAAAAGAAAAATATATAAAAAATACATTAATGATGAAATGGGAATTTTATTTATATGATACAGACAGGGTGATATCCCCATTTTTAATTCCAAGTGCTATGTTCTTCTACTGAAAGGCTTCCATCAAGTCAGGGGAGACACAGAAGTCCCAATGACCTCTGGTATTTAATAATAATGAGTAGTTAAATTCACAACTTGGCCTAATCATTTAGGCATGCATTCAAAAGAAACACATTTTCCTAACAGTAACAGATACTGCTTGTTCTTTACACTTTAAATCCAGAAGACAGATGCCGTTAAGAGAACTATCACGGTATCACTTGTCCTGTGTTGTAAGATGACTTAGTGATGTCCTTGTCTTCTCTTGCTTTTGTTGGCTTTTTATTTATACCTTTAACAATGTGTTCCCCTTTGAACTCCACTGTTGTTTCAATATGTCAACAAAGGCCCATTTCAAAAGGACATACATGTAGTGCTATTGACAAGCAGAGGGCAAGCAAAGGCCTTACATGCATTTTCTACATCCCAGGAAAAGGCGTGAACAAGAGATGCCTAAAATAAAGCTACTTTGGGGAACACATCACTGACACATTTTAAATTAATTAATTCTGCCCATCTTTTTCTCTAAGAGGCAGCCTCGAAGACATTTTCTTACTTCAAAAAAAAAAATGGTTTAAAAATATCAAACATGGGACTGAGAAGACAGCTCAGTTGGGAAAGTGCTTGCCTCCCAATCGTGACAACCTGAGTTTGAGTCTCACATGAAAAAGCCATGGTGGCATGCACCTGTAATGCAAACCCGGGAGAGGCAGAGATAGAACGTCCCTTGAGCTTGATGACCAGCTCATCTAGCCTAATCTGAGATTTCTAGGTGCCAGTGAGAGGCCCTGTCTCAAACCACACAAAGAAACAAAACCAAACCAGAAACAACTAAAGGACTGTTCCCAAGAAACGACACTCATTGAACTTTGGCATCCACATATCCATGCATGCACACATACATACACATATCCACATATATATCCACACATCATACTTGGATGATAGCATCACACTATGGATTCTAGTCATGAAACAGATATTTTTCCTCTGACTGAATAAAAAAAAAATGATTTCATTTTGAAGCTAGACCAAGCTATGCTCAAATGTATTACTTATTTCCATGTCTAAATCTTGGGAGTTAACTCTAATCCATATATGGGTATCTGATCTTGATCTTTGCATGCTTAAGGACTTAACACATTTTATCCTCAGGAAATGTTAGTCATACCGACTTACAAAACAATCGGATACTGGAGTAGAATTTGTATCTATGCCACTTAAGTGAATACCATCAATTGGAAATCTCAACTAAACTTCATTTATTCTAGAAATAAATAAAGGAATACTTAAGTAACCCAATTATGCTTAGTAGCATATAAGATTCTGAGCCCAGTATTGTCTGCTATGCTTAGACTTTATCAACTAGCAAACTAAAATACCCCATCAGTTGTAGCCTACTGTCCCTGGTAATGGACCACAGTAGGAGAGGACAGTAAGTGCTCAGTCCTCTCAGGGGAGTGGCCTGGCTCTGGAACTCATCTAGCACAAATGAACATCATAGTTATCCCAGGGACTGGTCAGTGTCCTGCCTGAAGGTTTGAGGCAAGAAGCCACTGTCACCATCACTTAAAATCTAAGAAAGGAGTTTTTTTAAATGTAATTAATCGAAGCATATATTTTAAAAATTGAAATATAATCAAATCACTCCACACTCCCTTTTCTCCCACAATTCTCAGTTACCTTCCCACCAACTCCTCCCATGTCCCCCTCTCATGTTGATAGCCTCATTTTCTTTATATTATTACATACATATATAGATACATTTATACATATTCAGAAATATATAAATAGAGCTGCATCTGTTCACTTAGTGTGTGTATGTGTATGTGTGCATGTGTGCGTGCATGCGTGTGGTGTGTGTGTGATTTCAGGAATGAGGCACTTTTCATTGGATAACAAATGAGGGGGCTCATTACTGTGGCAGGCTAATTCTCTTCCTCCAAACAGTCATTAGTTGCCTTCAGTTCTTTATCTAGGGGTGAGACCCCAGGAAATTTGCTCCCTTTCATGTTAATATGTCCATTGATATTGCCATTTTCTGGTCTTGTTTATACAGCCATTTCTTGCAGAGTTTTTTTTATAACAGATTTCCTGGTAAATAATTCCAAAAATAATCCGAGAAGATGATGTAATTTTATATACATTATAGAAGAAAATAGCAAAGTTTATTTTTTAGTACTAATGACATCTGGAAATGATAATTAACTTATAAAACAGAATTGCACATAATTAACAAAGGAAAGACAATTACATTATATTTTCTTTAAATTGCACAATAGAAAAGTACAAAATGTATGCTCATTAAGCTTGTCTGTTATAATTTTAATAACTGAAATGAAGTAAAGAAAATTGGGTAATGGAAAAATTCAACCCAGTACTTTTAATAAGTATAAAGTGTATTTCTTGGAGGATATTAAAATTTATAAAAGCATCCCTAATGACTTAATAATATGCAACTTTACAACATTTTAACAATCATAGGGGCAATAATGTTTTTAATCAACAGAAAATTTGTTTTAAAAACAGACATTTTAAAGAACCAATTAATACTTCAAAAATACTTAACAAATATGTTGATTATGTAAAATTAAAAACCATTTGTTTCCAAAGCCTTTTCTCCTTTTGTAGAACTATTCTTCAAGAGGAAAATGACATGAGTACAACTACAGAATAAATTTTTATTTTTTATCATTTACTTAAACCTTGTATTTAAATGTGTTAAATGACAGAAGTTTAATTTATATTTCTTTACAATTTGTACATTTATATCAGATGGGAATTTTCACAATTACTACATATTATGAGATAGACAATTGTTGGTCCATTTTAGAGAACAGAGCTAGACTATTGAGTGAAGTAAGATACAATGCATGAATATGAGGGGCATTGTCAACTGAAATTGCCTGATTGTAATATAGAACAGCGATTCATCTTCTCCTCTGCAAAAGACTTATCACTAAATTTAGTTAATAACTAGGTTGGTCAATCAGTTTAAATTACTCATTTAAAAACATCTTTGAAAAATTTAAGCACACCGTTTTCTGATATACGGTAGACTGCTAAGGAAATGACTCATTCTCAACAGTCTCCATCTCTTCTGAGTTCAAGAGAATGCCCAGTCTCCATACGTAAAAAGTAAATAAAGGGAACGCATCTGAAAGTTGGAAGATGGTTTCATCATGTTTCTGAAGAAATGTCTGGATTTCTGGGCTGCTGTGATCAATGTGTAAAGTGGGCTCCCCCTTGGTTTCTTGTTGAAGAAGTTGCTCCAGAATCCAGAACAGAGAGAAAATATTTTCATAGCGTGTCACATCATAATTGCCTTGAACCTACAAAGAAACAATAAAATCCATAAAACACTGGGTGGATCAGATCAGAAAATGTTTATATAGGATTATATTGTCAGACAAAAGAAAAGTTTCTGATTGGTTTAATGCCTTCTGTTTTCCTGTTCCTTGGTTGTTGGACTGGGGAGACAACTGGATTGGTGGAGTGGGAGAAAGCAAACAAATACTTAAACGACTTTACAATCACAGCAAACGATTCCTTTCTTTTTTATTAATTAAATTTATTTATTTATTTTACATCTTGAGTGTAATTTCACCTCCCTCTACTTCTCCCATCCCTTCCTCCACTTCCCTCCTGTCTCCCCCATCCACTCCTTCTCTGTTTCTGTTCAGAAGGGGGCAGGCCTCCCATGCATGTCAACAAAGCATAGTCTATCAAGTTGAGGTAGGACTAAGCTTGCATTAAGGCTTGGCAAGGAAACCCAGTATGAGGCATAGGTTCATGGAATTCAGCCAAAGCATTAGGGACATAGATCCTTATTTAAAGAGCTCAACATAAATCCAGCTACACTGAACTTGACAGAAAAGAAAGTGGGGAAGAGCCTTGAACACATTGGCACAGGAGAAAACTTCCTGAATAGAACACAAGCAGCACGGGCACTAAGATTGACAATTAATAAATGGGACCTCATGTAACTGAAAAGCTTCTGTAGGCAAAAGACACCATCAATAGAACAAAACGGCAGCCCACAGAATGGGAAAAGATTTTCACCAATCCACATCTGACAAAGGACTGATTTCCAGAACTCAAGAAACTAGACAACATAAAACTAAATAATCCAATTGAAGAAAGAGGATACAGATCTAAACAGAGAGTTGTCAACAAAAGAATCTCAAATGGCTGAGATACACTTAAATAATTGTTCAACATCCTTAGCTATCAGGGAAATACAAATCAAAATGACTCTGAGATATCTTCCTCCACCTGTCAAAATGGCTAAGATAAAAACCACAAATGACAGCTTATGTTGGAGAAGATGTGGAGCAAGGAGAACACTCCTCCACTGCTGGTGCGTGTCCAAACTTGTACAGCCACGCTGGAAATCAATATGGAGGTTTCTCAGAAAATTGGGAATCAATCTACCTCAAGATCCAGCTATACCACTCTTGGGCATATACCTAAAAGATATATACCACAAGGACACTTGCTCAAGAATGTCCACAGCAGCATTATTCATAACAGCCACAAACTGGAAATAACCTAGATGCCCATCAACCAAAGAATGATTTTTTTTCTTGATGGTTTATAAAGCTTGACATTTTTTTCTACCATTGTTCTACACATTATCATTCCTAAAACTCCAATCCAAGCATCTTAAAATCAAAAGTGTTTTGGATCAGAATATGATAGTGTAAATGGAAATTTCCATATGTGGTCTCATATGATGTATTATAGTATAATACCAGTAGATGTACATGGATATACTGTGTAAAATTATTTATAGGCTGCATAATAAAAGTGTTCGTGACCCATAAAGGAATTTCATGGTAAGAACTGTGTCCCATTTCCAAATGATCTTATCAGCTGCATGCAAAAACCTAAAGGTTTAAAATCTAAATTACAAAATACTTCTGGCCCCAAGCATTTGAATTAGGAATATTGCTCTTCATTACTTATTTACAAGTAAACATCTCAAGTGCTCAGTAAACAGTTTAAACATAATAGTGTAAAGTGTTAAATTCAATCTTGTGTGTACAATTTCCAGTGCATGGCATTCTTTCCAAGAATCACAGAATGATTTTTTTTTTTTTGTGGGTAGGATTTTAGGGACATGTATGAAGGTACAAATGGTAGACTGAAGATATTAGGCAACTAGATATCTTCTAATCCTGAGTCTACAGAAGTCAGAAATTAGTGCTTAATTGTATAGAATCACATACATGGACGGAAGTACAGATATGGCCTTGTAAGAATTCTTTGGCCTGGATGGCTATATATAAGCAAGGAAAAGGGCCTAAGAAGTGCAATGGAAAACTTAAGAGAATAGAGGTATCAGGGTGGAAGCATAAGCTTGCTTCATTATTTCCTTATTAATTAAGAAGTAAGTCAGAAGTCCTAGGAGGCAAGCTGAATGCTTATCACCATTTTACAGACAAGAAAAGAGCCACAGAAGTACACTAATTAGAACTCTAAGTCTACAGATCTTAACTAGGGACTTTTCTTACACAGTTTTGCTGAAGTTCATTAAAGAAAGTATTACAATTGGGGTTAGGGGAGAAAGAATGTGTTGGAAACATTTATCAGTGCAATGCACTGTGATGACACATAAATAGATAAACCTTCTTGCACAGTTAGAGGAATTTACTCTTCAAAAAGGTAGCCTGATAAACCCAATTATAGAGATACAGATTGCTGGAAATAAATCAACACTTCAAAAAGTGCCATGTAATGAGGCCCATCTGCCTCTCTTAGATGTGGCTAAATACCATCAGGCTTCAAGAAGCAGTCACTATTGTTACTCCTTTGCCAAACACAGGCATGCTGCATTCCCAAGCTGAGGCCTTTAGAGAGCGCCCCATACTCTCGACATGGGTTCTGTGGCTGTAACATATATTTCTACAGCTTACAATGGGCCACTGCCATACTGCAACAGTTTGCATTGGTCTTTAAGACCCTAGAGCCTCCATGTGTGCCTATGATCTGGGTCCTAGCTATTGTAACTCTAAACATGTTTGGGTTCCCTTGCTGTGCATAAGATTACCAATGCAACTGCATGCTATTACCAAAAAGTAGTCAATTACTGTCCAGACCCCAAAGACAGCCCACCCACATGTCCTTGTGCTTCAGGCATCTGCTCTGTAGGTGACTCAACATCTGACTGATGCTGCAAGCACTGTGAAATGTCCTAAAAGACAACTCTGATGCCAAAAGGGACCGTCTCAGACACAATTTCTCTCCCTGGTGAAAGTAAAAAAAGGAACTGGCCAAACCTGATTACCACACTCAGCAAATTCACTGCCACAGCAGATTTTGAGAGTCCTGGCTGCTAAGGATCTCTGTAGTATTCTGCCGACCTCCTCTTACTCACTGACCTATGACAGCAGTGTACAGAGGCTACATGGCTGTAGTCCCCCTACTGACTGCCTGCCCCATTGGGAAGAAAAATGCAAAGTTTTACCACATCAAAATTAGTTTGCAAAATGTAAGAGAAACAATTGCTCTATGGAACACATGGACATCAATGTAAATTATCAAGAATTTAACAAAATCAAGAGGCATATCGCCACAGACACAATAATCCTCCAGAATCTACACCAAAGATTGAAACACAAACTGTTTGATGAATAATTTTAAATATTTATTTATGCAAACTCAGAGATGTTTAAGAAAAGAGAGAAGTCAATAAAATCAAGATATTAAAATTAACAAATTGAAATTATTAAAAAATATTAATGTAAGTGTAAAGTGAAAATTTTAGTTGGCAATAAAATTAATAAAATAAAAAATCAACAGCAGCATTTATCAGAGTAGAAAAAAATCCGTTTTCCAAATAATAAAGAGGGGAGAGGGAGAAAAATAATGAAAATGACTGAGAAAGTATAGATGATTTATAGGGAACTAATGAAGAACAGATGTTCTAATTTTACAAGTAAGAAAAGAAAAAGAGACAGATAATGGACAGAAAGAATATTTAAATCAATAATAGATGAAAATTTCTCAACTTTACAGATGAATTTACATGCCCAGGTATAGAAAGGACAAGCTAGCCAGTATCAGTGTGAAGAAGACCACACCACTACATATTATAATCAAATGGTCAAAAAGAAAAGATGATAGAGATTATGAAAGTATCAAGAAAAAACACATCACATATATGGGGTTATCACTTGACTCAGTGGTAGATTTCACAGTAGAATGTTCACAATCCATGAGATAGAGGGTAATTTATTCAGACAGCAGAAGAGGAAGAAAAACACCCCCACGAAACACACTTTATATGGTATAGAAGTCCAGAAGTGAGAAATAGATGAAGAATTCCCAGACAAGCAAATCTGAGCATTATTCACCCTTGAGTCTCTCTTTAAAAAACCAATACATGATGGAGGGAAGTCTTCATGCTTAAAGAGAAACATCAGGCTACTCAGTAATTTAGCAACATAAAAAACAGATGAAAGAATAAAACACAGTGGATTCACACACACACACATACACACACATATATAGTTAAATTCAGAGTACTCTTTTTTCTTAAATATTGCATATAAATCAATTATGTATTTAGTATGAAGATTTAAAAGATAGCTTCAAAAATATTTTACTTGATGAACAAAATAAAAAGATATAAAATATGACACCAGAACATAAAATGTGGAAAGTGAATATTGTTTATGAGGTCTAAATTATTATCAGCTTAAATAGCCTTGTCTAATACAGAGCTTCTTCTAACTACAAAATAAAAACATAAAAGATATTAGAAACATAAAAAAAATACATGTAATCAAAACACATCTCTAGAGAAAAACATGGAATCATGTAAAAGGGTAGCAAGAAGGGAGCAAAAGATATATAAAACAACCAGAAAACATCAACTTGACAGTACTCAGTCAGTACCTATAAATGTTGGATATAAATGGGTTAAATTCAAAATACAGAGTGTTATCTCAGTAACAACTCATAACATCTCCAGCACAACTCTTGCATCTAAGACTCAGGAATCATTGCATAAGAAGTAGAAAGATTCTAAGAGCCAGAGGAATAGGGAGTTCGTTGTGAGATTGTCTCTTCTAGGAATGTTAGAGGCTACACCCATATATTTTCACCAATATGACTGTTGAAGCACGGGTTGCACATGGACAATACCAATTAACACACTAACTCGGATGGGGAAATGTTTATGAGGTCCCAACTCTACACAAAGAACAGTAGACAACTAAGGAATGCTGAGAGGGAGAAATAGTTTTCCCCAGAAAAGAAACTAAGAGGGTCATATCTGATTTCCCCACTTCTTCATCAGTAAAACCCTACATTTCCCCAATGTATC